CTGGGGCCTGGCACTGGCTGTGTACGGTGTCTGTGACCTCAGGCAGAGCCTGTGCCGGCCTGTGCCTGTCTCCACTGGCACGAGCTATGTGGCAGGTCAGGGTGGCTGGGCCAGGGCCTCAGGTTGGCCTCCCTGTCATCTGCCCTTCCGGGGACACAGGCTGCTGCATGCGAGAACCAGCCTGGCCAGGCCCTGGGACTCGGAGCTCCACTCTCAGCTAGCCTGGCGACCTGGCAGGCAGGTGCAGCATGGGGGGCCCTTCCCTCAGCTTCTGACTCTCGAGCAATTCTGCTTTGCCTGAGCCCATCAGTCTCAGACCCCGGGGCGGGACCGTCCCAAGGATCTGCTCTCTTCCTCCCATAGGTCTCCTGTCCTGTCCTCTGGGGCCCAGCCCCTGCCTCCCTGCTCCTGTCCCTGGTTCCTCTGTTGCCCCCATCTCCAGAGAGTCACCCAGGGCCTGCCTGTACTTGCCTTCACCTGAGGGAGCTGCCAGCCCTGGGTGTGTACGGGTTGGGGGCACCCTTTCATCTGCAGCCAGGGTGGGGGGTGCTGGTCTGGCCGGGACTTGCCAGGCTGGCCGGAGACCCTGTTTGTCTGGTGTCCAGGTGCTGTCCTGGGGCCCAGCCTCTGGGGTGGAGGTGGGGCTCAGGTGTTGGGGAACTGTGATTCTCAGAATTTCAATACATTTTTCTTTTTTTCCAGGAGCCCCCATCCCATTGAAGTGCAGGGGCTCAGCCTGGACACCACACCCCTCTGGTGTGCACCCCCCCCCCACACACACACACTCTCGCACTCCCACACCCACGCAGCTCACCTCCCTGCTGGTGCTCAGCCTGTCAGGCAGGTTGGCTGAAGGTCTCCGGGCCTAAGAGGGGCAGCCAAGGCGGGGTGGGCCTGAAGCTCGGCCCCCGGCCTCTCGGCCTCTGCTGCCCCCTCCTCACAGCGGCGGGCTGCCTGGGTCCCTGAGAGATGATTACTCCTGAGCACTGGCCTCTCCCCAGACCCAGGAACTCCTCCCAGCCCCACCCCCACCCCACCCAGCCGGCCCTACCTGCCCGGGTGCAGCTGGCACAGACCACACCTTCCACCTTCCCCCTGCCTGGATTCTGGGACCATGTCTGTCCACGTACCACCCCTGCCTCCTGCCGTCTCAGCGGGTGTGAGCCTGGACCAATCTCCTGGTCCAGTGGACTTCAGACGTGGGACCACGCGTGGGCTGGGGTCCTGATGCCCCTTCACGAGTGACGCAGCCCCTGCCTCCCCCTCCCTTCTTTGGGCCCTCACCCCTGAAAAGTCCCATTCGGGAGCCTGAGGGTGTTGGGACACGGCTTGTTACCCAGCTCTGCCCCTGCCCACGCACGCCTGCTACCCGCGTGACTGGGACGCGAGATGCACGCACGCACTCCCATGAGCCTGGAAGCTCGGGTCTCCCACCTGGGTGGGGCAGGACGAGCCCCCATTTGATGGGGGAAGCTGAGTCCGGAGCTGCAGGCCCCTGGCTAGTGGGTGGGGGCAGGGCTGGGGCTGCGGTTTGTTCCGCCTTCCTGGGCTGCACCTTGCGGGGGGGACGTCACGCATGGCCCCGGGCCTCGATCTTCCCACCTGCGAAGTGGCCTCCACGATGCTTCCCCTCCTGGGTGGTCGGGGTGAGGTCGGACGGGCAGAGCAGGTGTGTGTCCCAAGTCCTGTCTGCGAGTTCCATGGAATTCTGCTTAGGAACCGCGCGGCCGGCTTCCTTATCCTTGCAGACCCCTCCCTCCCTCCCCCGCCTTTCCTTCTAGACCCCAGGCTTCCTCCAGTACCACCTCCCGTCCTGTGTCCTAAATCGTGCCCAGCCAGGGGCAGCTGACCTCTGCCCTCCTCAGCCTGGCACCCACCTTGCCAGCGAGCAACTCCCAGCCAGCTTCGCATCTCCAGGTGCTGAGGCTTGCGGCTCCATGCAGCCTGCTTCAGGGTGTTCTGGGGCCCAGGAGAGCAGAGTCTTCATCAAAGCATCCCCAGGTGTGTGCTTCTTTCTTGCTGCTTCTTTTTTTCTTTTGGAGACAGGGTCTCGCTGTGTCACACAGGCTGGAGTGCAGTGGCATGATCTGGGTTCACTGCAACCTCCCTGGCTCAGGTCGTCCTCCCGCCTCAGCCTCCCAAAGTGTTGGGATTACAGGCATGGACCTTGCGCCGGCCTTATTTCTGAAAATGACTCCGAATCCCCAGAGCTCCGGCGCCTCTGGTCTTCTCGCAGTTGTTTTGGAATTTACGCACCCTTTGGCTGCCTGAGCCGCCCTTCACCACACACAAGATGGGTTTTGTTGTTTTTCTCGCTGTGATGCCAAACTATATAATCAGCGTGGCAGGGCGCCTCTCTCAGTCATTTTCACATCATGCCGGTGTCTCTGGTTCATTCCCATCGGTCAGGCCCTCATTCCAGTCACTTACCGGGGTTCCTGTTCCAATTCCATTCCCAGGAGCTCAACAAGATAGCCGAGGCCGGCTCACTCCACTGGTCCCCGTGTGCCACTGTCTCCCTCCGCGGGTCACTTGTCAACATCCGTCCACGTGGGCCCAGGGCTCTCTCAACCCCCTGGAGAAGCCGCTTGAAACGCCAGCCAAGAACAGGGCCCCCACTGGCTCTTCTTGACCTCCAAGGCCCCCACATCTGCTTAGGAAAAGGGTGGTGGGGAGGTTCCCTCGCAGCTGAGCAGAAAACAGTGCTGGACGTCACACTGTGTGGGTGCAAGGGCATTGCTTTAAAGAGTGAACAGTGTCCACCGTCTCAGCCGCAGAGGCTGCCATGGGCCCCGCGTTCATTACTCACAGCGTGCCATGAGTTTCTGGGAGCTGCGATTACAGCTGGATCTCTGGGTGAATGCCACAGGCAGCTTGCCCTCCTAAAGCAGACGGCCTGGCTGTGACCACGGCCGGCTCCACATAGCTCCTCGCTGGAGCAGGGGCTGCTCCTGAGTCATGAGGTTGGGAGCAGGCCCAGAAAGCAGAGGGCCAGGGCCCTTCCACAGCTGCTGCCATCTGACTTACAGCAGAGGAGCTGGCTGGATGGTGGAGGTGCTTAGCCTCGGTCTGCGTTGTTACCGGCTGCCAGGTGGCTGTGAAGGACCTCGGGAGGGCACTGGGGGGCCATTCTCAATGACACGCCCGTTTCAAGGCAGGTGGCCGCTGGGCCCTGCACATGACATGGAGAAGAGCTGTGTGGACATCCCAGGAGCCTCCAGGCAACCTACCCGCCCCTCCTGAGCCTTTGTTTCTCCACAGCCTACCTTTATTTTTTTTAATGAAATTATTTTTTTTCTTTATATGCTTTTTTAGAGATAGAGACGGGGTTTTCCCATGTTGCCGAGACTGGTCTCGAACTCCTGGGCTCAAGCAATCTGCCTGCGTCAGACTTCCAAAGTGCTGGGATTACAGGCTCCCGCCTCCACACCTGGCTAACTTTTTGTACTTTTAGTAGAGATGGGGTTTCGTCATGTTGGCCAGGCTGGTCTTGAACTCCTGACTTCAGGTAATCTGCCTGCCTCAGCCTCCCAAAGTGTTGGGATTACAGGTGCGAGTCACTGCGTCCAGTCTCCATGGCCTACCTTTGAAGGGCAGTCGTGAGGGCCCATTTAGATAGGACAGGCTTGGCTCTCAGGAGCCAACGCTCTCCTGAAAACAGAGTGCCGCACCAGACCAGCAGCCGTGGAGGCAAAGCCGACCTTGGCCTTGGCAAGAACCATTTCCCTGGCGCAGCTGTGGCGTGAAAGAAAAGGAAGCTATGGCCGGGTGCAGTGGCTCATGCCTGTAATCCCAGCACTTTGGGAGGCCGAGGCGGGCGGATCATTTGAGGCCAGGAGTTTAAGACCAACCTGAACAATATGGTGAAACCCCGTCTCTACTAAAAAATACAAAAAATTAGCCAAACGTGGTGGTGCACGCCTGTAGTCCCACCCACTCAGGAGGCTGAGTCTCATCTGAACCTGGGAGGCAGAGGTTGCAGTGGGGGCCGAGATTGCACCACTGCACTCCAGCCTGGGTAACAGAACGAGACTGTTCCAAAAAAAGAGAAAAAAAAAAAAAAGAAGAAAAAGGAAAGAAATAAGCAGGATGCAGGCCTGTGATCCCAGCACTTTGGGAGGCTGAGGTGGCAGGATCACCTGAGGCCAGGAGTTCTGAGATAAGCCTTGGCAACACAGTGAGAACAGTCTGTATTTAAAGAAAAAGGGAATATTTCTTTCTAATTCCACAAACACCCTATGCCCCTGAGGTGTTTCTTTACAGGTACTTAAGGCAGTAAACCCCCAGTTCCCTGGAAGGGCCCGCCGGGCGCTCACTTCGCTCCAGAGCCTGGTTTCTGTTTTGGGATCCTGTCACCCAACCCAACTCCCCAGTTGCCGCTGTTTCTTGCGAGACTGTCAGAGTCACGCAGGTCAAAGCTCCGACTTCCAACTTCAGAAATTCCAACTCAGGCATGATCAGTGAAGCTTCCCTCGCAGCGGCTGGAGGGAGAGCCAGGCCGGCCCAGACTAAGTCCGGCGGCCTCAGCACAGAAGGACCCCCGCCTACCCCTACACGGAGGTCATGTTCAGCCACACCCCAGCTGCCTACCAGTGAACCCTGGCCACCCACCCCCCCGTGCCCTGCCCTGCCCTGCCATGCTCCTCCCTCCTGACCTCTGCACACACTGATCCCTAGACAGAAGCGCCCCCCGTCCCTTGCTATTCAGGATTCAGAGGCCAGCGTCTGTCCCCAGCTGCAGCACAGTAACGGGCACACACAGTAAGATAGTAAGAGATGTCCGCTGATGGCCACCAGCTTCCCAGCAGGCTCAGAGAAGTCACGGGAGGGGGAGCTGCGTGACAGCGTGCACAGGCCCAAGTCTGGGATCCACCTTGTCCCTGGGAACTACGTCTCTCTGCGTTTCTGCCCAACAAGCCCCCCTTCCACGTGAAGCCCGTGAAACTGAACTCATGCTGTACGACTGCAATGCCTCGCTACTGTTAGGGACGATGGTGAAGTATTTTGGGATACACATTCGCTTTTAATAAAAAAGAAATTTCCTCCCACAATTGATCCCGTACACGGGGGGCCATGAGCCACGCCTGCTGACTCATTCCTCCAATTCTTAAACACAAGCACGTTTCAGGTCCCAGTGAGATCCATTCATGACTCCTCTGGCACCCGTTCCACCCTCCCCGTCATGCACAGAAGATCTTAGTAACCAGAGTTAAGAGTCTGCCTGAGACACGAATATTTTTTCCTGGCTCCAAGGGCTAGTGCCAGACAAAGTTCCTCCCTCCACCGGGGACGGAGGCGAGACTTGAGTCCCTGAGTGGGTGTCTAGGTCCTCATGTGTCCTGCTGAGCAGCGCGGGGCAGCTGCCTCCAGGTCACCACACCTGGCACACCCGGATCACCTCCCTCAGCGCCTTCAGCCCCTCCATGCTTTTGTCCTTCACGGCCACGGCGAGGAGGACTGCTCTGTTTCCAGCTTCTTGAGACACAAATGCTACCAGGTTCTTTGCAAAGACATGGATGAGAGGCTGGTGAAAGGAAGGAGAAGAAACCATTTTAACTGCAAGAAACCTGGTTTTTTCCTCAATGTTTTCATGACGTATCCCTTAGGAACCCAGGCAGGCTTCCCACACCACCATTCACCACATGTAAGTCCATGCAACCGTGACTCAGCGTTCAGGCAGCACTCAGAACACTCCAGTCACGAGCACATTGCTAAAGACGCATCACTCCATTCATTTCCCCAGCGTCTTTCGCAGCCCCGCCTCTTCTGGCTGTCTCTCATCCAAAAGAACCCAGGAAAGACAAGCCTGCAGAGGTGAGTGCTGTTGAATCTCACATGTGATCTCTGCAGAGGAGAGCACAGCCAGCAGCCCGCTCACATAATGTACCATGGGAGGGGAGGCGGCTCGAATGACAAAATTGCTACTTCTGCTTGTCTGCTGGATAAAACACCCGTGGGCTGGACAAAGCATCCACCAGGGCAAGCAGGGCGCCTTGAGACCCACAAATGCCCGGAAAATGCTATCGCTGTAGGGGGATTTGTCCCCCAGATGCCCCATGTCCTTACCGACAAATCACAGCCACTGAAGAGGTTTATCTTCCTCCCTGGGGGTCCCTTCCTGACCACTTTATTATTATTATCATTATTATTATTGTTATTATTATTTAGAGACAGAGTCTTGCTCTCTCACCCAGGCTGGAGTGCAGTGGCACGATCATAGCTCACTGCAGCCTCAACCTCCAGGGCTCAAGTGATCCTCCCACCTCAGCCTCCCAAGTAGCTGGGACCACAGGCACACACCATCAGACCCAGCTAATTTTTTCTTTTCTTTCTTTCTTTCTTTCTTTTTTTTTTTTGAGGCAGAGTCTCTATCTGTTACCCAGGCTGGAGCGCTATGGCACGATCTTGGCTCACTGCAATCTCCGCCTCTCAGGTTCAGGCGATTCTTGTGCCTCAGCCTCCTGAGTAGCTGAGATTACAGGCATGCGCCACCACACCCAGATAGTTTTTATATTTTTAGTAGAAATGGGGTTTCGCCATGTTGGCCAGCCTGGTCTGGAACTCCTGACCTCAAGTGATCCGCTCACCTCAGACTCCCAAAGTGCTAGGATTACAGGTGTGAGCCACTGCACCCAGCCTCTCTCTCTATATATATATATTTTTTGTAGGCACTTGTGTTTTTGTGAAGACGTGTGTGTGTCGTTGTGTTACCCAGGCTGGTCTCAAACTCCTGGCTTCAAGCGATCTGCCTGCCCAGGCCTCGGAGAGTGCTAGGGTTAGAGGCGTGAGCCACAGTTCCCGGCCAATCCACTTTACCTCATCCTGCCCCAGAAGGACTTTTGTGGTGAGCACAGGCTTGCTGACGTCACTGGCCACGCTGCTGGGCTCCAGGGAGACCAAGGTACCCATCTTCCCGAACTGGGTCACCACCACCAGGATGTGACTGCTGAAGGCCGTGCACACCACCTGGGTGGGGACCCCGCACACCACCTCCGTCTTCTGTTTTGATATCACCAACGGCGTGTCTTCCATGGCGGGGCAGTGGCAGCTTTAATTTAGGTTAAAACGAATGGGGAAAAAAAGGAGTCAATCAAACAGTACAGCCTTGTGGTTCCCAAAAAAGTAGCACCAGGCATTGAAACAGAAACGCAAGGAGGTCCATTCAAAAGAAGGGGCCAGGCGCGGTGGCTCATGCCTGTCATCCCAGCACTTCGGGAGGCCGAGACAGGAGGATCACTTGAGGCCAAGAGTGCGAGACCAGCCTGGCCAACACGGCGAGACCCCCATCTCTACCAAAAAAAAATATTACATATCAGCCGGGCGCGCCTGTGGTCCCAGTTACGCAGGAGGCTAAGGCGGGAGGATCGCTTCAGCCCGGGAGGTCGAGGCTGCAGTGAGCCGTGATCACACCACTGCACTCCAGCCCGGGCGTTAGAGCGAGACCCCGTCCCTGGAAACTAAAACATAAGCAGGAGCGGGGCCACCCGTACAGACCGCGCCTGGGGCTTTCTGGGTTAGGGGATCGACTTGCACGTTCACACTGCCAGGCCCGGCAGTGGCTTCCCGCCCCTCGGCCTCGCCGCTGCCCCGGCCCTGCAGCCGCGGGCCCGGGTCCCCCACGACACGCGGTGCCGAGGCCGGCCGGGCTACGGGGGACGCAATCGCCCGCGGGGGACAGCAGGTATCCGCGCTCACCAAGCCGGCGCCGCGCCCGGAAGTGGCTCTGCGTGCGCCACGCGGGCCCGCCCTGCTCGCAGGTTCCGTCCACCTTCCGGAAGTCAGGGCAGCGGCGCTTCTGGTCCCCGAGACTTGGGGCTCCCGGGCTTCTGAGCGCTTCGGGTTCCGCGCTGCCGGGAGGGCTTGAGGGCGCCTTAGAGCCGGACGCCGTTTTTTCAGGAAAGGGCGCTGCGACCGCCCCCGTCCCGGGCCTTAGCCCCTCAGCTGCAGACCCTCGGGATCCTGGATGGTGGGAGCTCTGCCCCTCCTGTCTGTGTCCAGGACCCCCGAAGCGCAGCGCCTAGGAACCCCCTGGCGCTGCGAGCCCGGCCATGCTGACCACGGGCTTTGGGCTGGAGTCATTATGGTCACCACAGCGAACGCTTATTTGGCACCGAGCGTGCGCCAGGCATCGTTCTAAGCGCTTTATACCCATGACTCATTTCATCTCAGCCACCCGGTTCAGTAGAAGCGTTTCATCCGCGTTTTACAGACGTGTGCAGGTGCAGAGAGCTTGGCCAGCCTCAGGCAGCTGGCGGGCTGGGGTGGGCTTCGAACCCCGTGCCTTGGTCGCTCCATGACACGAAGCCCCGGCAAAGGCCAAGAAGGGGGCCAGCTCCATCCTGAAGCAGGATGAGTTCTGGTTCCTCCCAGGGACCCCCCTCACTCCCTACTGCCCAGCCTCAGTTTCTCCAGGCTGGAAGGATTTTTGTTTTGTTTGAGACGGAGTCTCGCTGTGTCACCCAGGCTGGAGTGAGGTGGCCCAATCTCGGTTCACTGCACCTCCGCCTCCTGAGTTCAAGCAATTCTCCTGCCTCAGCCTCCTGTGTAGCTGGGATTACAGGCGTGCACCACCAGGCCTGGCTAATTTTTTTTTAATCTTTATTTTTAGTAGAGATGGGGTTTCACCATGTTGGTCAGGTTGGTCTTGAACTGCTGACCTCAGGTGATCCGCCCTCCTTGGCCTCCCAGAGTGCTGGGATTACAGGTGTGAGCCACCACATCGGGCTGCTGGAAGTTTTGTTGGCAGGATCGGGCATCTTTAGCAGAGGCTGAAAGTGATTGGAGCCTCCAGAGCCTTCCTCGGCGGGAGTTAACACCCCTTCAGAACCCCAGCCTCAGAGGCCTTTCTGTCGTTTCCTGACAGCCATGTCAAGGCCGTATTTTCTGTCTGTATTACCCGAAAGGGGTCCTGATCCAAACCCTAAGAGAGAATTCAGGGTGAGTCCATAAAGTGAAAGCAAGTTTATTAGACAAGTAAAGGAATTGAGGCAGGAAAATAGGGTCTGCAGGCAGGGAACACTTCAGCCGTGACAGGAAATGTCCCCTCCATAGGGTGTACACCGAGTAAATGATTTTGTAACTTTACTCTATCCTCTTCATTTACATAGGGCGTACACCAAGTAACCAGTAAAACCCCTAGAGGGTATTTAAACCCCCGCAAGTTCTGTAACAGGGCCCTTGAGCCCCCATACTTGGGACTCCCCCACACTATGGAGCGTGCTTTCGTTTTCAAAAAATCTCTGCTTTTGGCCGGGCGCGGTGGCCCAAGCCTGTAATCCCAGCACTTTGGGAGGCCGAGACGGGTGGATCACAAGGTCAGGAGATTGAGACCATCCTGGCTAATACGCTGAAACCCCATCTCCACAAAAAATACAAAAAAAACTAGCCGGGCGAGGTGGCGGGCGCCTGTAGTCCCAGCTACTGGGGAGGCTGAGGCAGGAGAATGGCGTAAACCCGGGAGGCGGAGCTTGCAGTGAGCTGAGATCCAGCCACTGCACTCCAGCCTGGGCGACAGAGTGAGACTCCCTCTCAGAAAAAACAAACAAACAAAAAAGTAAAACAAAACAAAACAAAACAAAACCCTCTGCTTTTGTTGCTTCATTCTTTTCTTGCTTTGTGCATTTTTTTTTTTTTCTTTTTTTGAGACGGAGCCTCGGGAGTCTCGCTCTGTCGTCCAGGCTGCAGTGCAGTGGTGCCATCTTGGCTCCCTGCAACCTCTGCCTCCCAGGTTCAAGCAATTCTCCTGCCTCAGCCTCCTGAGTAGCTGAGATAACAGATGTGCGTCACCATGCCTGGCTAACTTTTGTATTTTTAGTAGAGATGGGATTTCGCCATGTTGGCCAGGCTGGTCTTGAACTCCTGACCTCAGGTGATCCGCCTGCCTCAGCCTCCCAAAGTGCTGGGATTACAGGTGTGAGTCACCGCGCCTGGTCGCTTTGTGCATTTTGTCCAATTCTTTGTTCAAGATGCCAAGAACCTGGACACCCTCCAATGGTAATGGAATAAAGAATGGCTACTCTATAGGCAGGGCAGCCCCAAGGGCTGCGGGTTGCCCATTTTTGTGGTTATTTCTTGATGATATGCTAAACAAGGGGTGGATTATTCGTGCCTCCCCCCTCTTTTTTTTTTTTGAGACGGAGTCTTGCTCTGTCGCCCAGGCTGCAGTACAGTGGCCGGATTTCCGGCCGTGCCTCCCCTTTTTAAACCCTTTATGGTAATGTCCTGGTGTTGCTATGGCATTTGTAAACTGTCATGGCGCTGGTGGGAGTATAGCAGCCAGGACGACCAGAGGTCACGCTCGTGGCCATGTTGGTTTTGGTGGGTTTTGGCCGGCTTCTTTACTGCAAACTGTTTTATCAGCAAGCTCTTTATAACCTGTAGCTTGTGCCGACCTCCTATCTCATCGTGTGACATAGAATGCCTTAACTGTCTGGGAATGCAGCCCAGCAGATCTCGGCCTCATTTTACCCAGCCCCTACTGAAGATAGAGTTGCTCTGGTTCAAACACCTCTGACATTTACACCAGCGAAGCCCCTAGGAGGATCTTGACTCCCTCTTCTCATCGTTGGATGACTTCGTATCCAATCCAAGTCAAGTCAAATGAAGCACGCTCCTTCCAATGATGATTTCTGGAGGCCTAAAATAAAAGGCATGCATACAGAAAATGATCAAAATAGGCATCAATCAAGGGGAAATTCATTTTTGAGCATTCTTGCAGCCAGTACACAAAAGGAGAGATGATGAGTTTCATGGTTCTAATACTCAAAAAACAGGAAGCATATCAACTTCCCAGGAAAGTCTAAGTTTCTGTCGGCTCTAAATTTAAACACACATCCACCCACACATACCCCACAAGCAAATTGCCAGCGGATTGCTTTGCCATCTGAAATCTTCAAAAGGTTCACTAGCTTTTATTCACCTGTTTCTTCATTCTCCCTCTCTGTAGGCAAATAGATATAAGAAATCTGATCCTGCCCCCTGAAAGAAAACCCTCTGAAATAAACTTATCACCTTTATAAAAGGGATGTTGAAGAACAACATGGATGCTGGGTTTGGTGTTGTTTTTTGAGACGGAGCCTCACTCTTGTCATCCAGGCTGGAGTTCAGTGGCGTGATCTCAGCTCACTGCAACCTCCACCTCCCGGATTTAAGCGATTCTCCTGCCTCAACCTCATGAGTAGCTAGGATTATAGGCACCTGCCACCACTCCCAGCTAATTTTTGTATTTTTAGTAGAGACGGGGTTTCGCCATGTTGGCCGGGCTGGTCTCGATCTCCTGACCTCAGGTGATCCGCCCACCTCAGCCTCCCAAAGTTCTGAGATTATAGATGTGAGCCACTGCACCTAGCCTGGATGTTGTTTTTGATGACACTGTTAAGCACATATGTGAGGGATTGGTTGGTTGGTTTGGGTCTAGATCCAAGATAAAGACAGTAGGAAAGAAATGAGAGGTGGAAGGTTGTCCTAGGCTGAGATGGTGGTCCAGGGACTTTCTGGCAGCCTGAATGGATGCCTGGGCAGAATTTATATATCTAGAAGAATGAAAGAAGACCTCATTGCATGCCATTGACTGTTCTCCAGTACCCAAGGGTAATTGAACTGGAAAGAAAGTCTCCCTCAAATGTAAAACGGGAATGTCACAGTGATGGTGCCAATTGTGGGGCAAAGAGTTGGAGGAGTTATTTTGAAAAATGAAAAAAAAGCAAAGTATCTTAAATTTGTCTTATATTCAATAACTTGTAGGTGATAAATGCCATGGTGTGTTCATTCGTAGAACCAGTAAAGAATTAGTCAAGTGCCAATTTGGTAGGATTATAATTTTTCTGACAAATTGTATGATCGCTAGACACGTTATCCTTCCCGTTGTGTGTGATTTTCCGAGCTCCAGGATGAAGAGGATTGAATTTACAAAAACGGGCAAGGATACCATCAATTTCCCCACGAGTCTCTCTCTCTCTCTCCCTTTTTTTTTTTTTTTTTTTTTTTTTTTTTTTCGAGTTCCAGGATGAAGAGGATTAATTTATAAAATGGGTAAGGAGGCTGACACTTTCAGCGAGTCTTTTCTTCTCTCCCTTTTTTTTTTTTTTTTTTTTTTTTTTTTTTTTGAGACAGAATTTTGCTGTGTCTCCAGGCTGGAGTGCAGTGGCATGATCTTGGCTCACTGCAACCTCCACTCACCGGGTTCAAGCTATTCTCCTGTCTCAGCCTCCCCAGTAGCTGGGATTACAGGTGTGCGCTACCACCCCTGGCTAATGTTTGTATTTTTAATAGAGATGGAGTCTCTCTATGTTGGTCAGGCTGGTCTCGAACTCCTGACCTCAGGTGATCCGCCCACCTCGGCCTCCCAAAGTGCTGGAATTACAGGTGTGAGCCACCGTGCCTGGTCTAGATTCCTGAAACCTTACGCCTCTTGGAAGATAGACAGTTTGGCTTTGCAACTGATGTGCTTTGTACTTCCACAACCTCACAACATGCTCTCCCATTCTCTCAACAGGAAAGATTCTGGAGCTTTGCCGGGAGGGGTGTGTGAGTGGAGACCAGTGAAGTAAGTTTTTGTGTTATCATGATTTCTGTTTTCCTCTGCAGCCCTGTAATGGCAGGAACTCAGACAGTCTGGTCTTCAGACCAGGAGGACTCCCAGGTACGGCAAATCTTAGACTTTAGGCATCAGAATCAACTTCCTTGGCTGTTAATTTTGAGCAACTTGCCTCAGTTTCTCAGCTTAAAAATGAAGATGAAAAATGAGGGTGCCTGTCTCGTGGGATTTAGAGGGGCAGCCCACGCACCGCAGTTCACTGGAACATCATACGTTCATTATTTTATTTATTTATTTATTTATTTATTTATTTATTTGAGATAGAGTTTCGCTGTTGTTGCCCAGGCTGGAGTGCAGTGGCACTATTTCCGGCTCACTGCAACCTCCACTTCCTGGGTTCAAGCGATTCTCCTGCCTCAGCCTCCCGAGTAGCTGGGATTACAGGCATGTGCCACCGTGCCCGGCTAATTTTGTGTTTTTCGTAGAGACGGGGTTTCTCCATGTTGGTCAGGCTGGTCTCGAACTCCTGACCTCAGGTGATCCACCTGCCTCAGCCTCCCAAAGTGCTGGGATTACAGGCGTGAGCGACTGCACCTGGCCTATTTTATCTATCACTTTATTTATTTTGGAGACAGGGTCTCACTCCGTCACCCAGGCTGGAGTGCAGCGGCATGATCATGGCTCACTGCAGCTTCAGCCTCCCGGGCTCAAGCAATTGCCCTGCTTCCGCCTCCTGAGTAGCTGAGACTACAGGCACACACCACCACACCCAGCTAATTTTTGTGTTTTTAGTAGATATGCGGTTTTGCCATATTACCCAGGCTCGGAATATCATAAATTTAACTGTTACATTTATGATTAACCAGCTGTTCTCCCAATCCTTATAAACAGACCTTGCTGCTCTCTGCCTGATGAGGACCAGCTTGAGTGCAAATGGACCATATGGCTGGGACATCGTGGGCCCGGCAGGGCTGGAGTGGTGGCCACCAGGCCCTGCACAGGGCCCCCAGGGGCTGCCTGAATGGATTTTTTTTTTGGAGACAGAGTCTTGCTCTGTCGCCCAGGCTGGAGTGCAGTGATGTGATCTCAGCTCACAGCAACCTCCACCCTCCCGGGTTCAAGCGGTTCTTCTGCCTCAGCCTTCTGAGTAGCTGGGACTACAGGCGTGCACCACCACGCCCAGCTAATTTTTGTATTTTTA